TTTTAATTTAACAATTGACCTTTGATTGAAGCTTTTATTTTCTTTAACGTTTGAAATCAATGAAAACTAAATGAATAAATAAAATTTAATTCTCTCAACATTTAAAATCTTACGTTTCAATATATCTTGAGTTTACTACACATTTTTCCAAAAACCGACGATATGCAGAATTCTGTCCCTTGGTTTTCTCCGAATCTACTGGGCCGATTTATTTTTTTATTTGCCCTCCCAAAATTATCCACGGCAATGGTGAATCCTAAGGGAAAGGGCGAAAGAAGAAAAAAAATTTAACTTTTGTAATTATTTGATGTTATATTGTCGGTTTTTTACAAAAAGTCTCTGAGTATATTTCAAATAGAGCTGGGGGTGGGATGGCCGAGCTTGTTAAAGGTTGCCCTAGTAAAATTAAAATAATTACAAATTCGTGTTTTTTTTTCTTTCCCTTCGCCTTTTTACGGGTCCTCTTCACGCACTTCAATGTTCACCCTATACACGATGGTTTTCTTTGGCCAGAGGGCGAGAGCGGGGAATTTAAAAGACCCTCAGTTACTGGGACGCGAACTCGTAATTTTATTGTCTCCAAACTTTGGTTATCAGGTTGCCAAGCAACGCGCCGTGCTGTTCACACACGTCAGTCCGCTCGGCCACCCGCCTTTTAACTCCGACATTAATCCTTCGCCCTGTCTTTTAGTTCATTGGGGAAAATCCCTTTTTAGCCGAAAGTACAATTCAGAGGAGGTCACATTTCTCCAAAATGGAAACACGAATGAATCCCACATGACTCGAAGAAATAGTTCAAATATAGGACCGCACAAGTTATGCGTGGTTCACATTCACTTCGATCACATTTGTTCATTCAGTATCGAATTCATCCGGGTTTATCCGAAAGACTATTTTCGGGGTTTAGTGATCGAGTGTAACCAAAATGAACTACCCATAACTCGTGCGTTCCTCATCTAAATAATTACCCTCATTTCATATCGTTGACCGTAGATTGTATTATTCAATTATTCTACCCACTCCAACCCCTCCTTCTCCCTTTATCACTTTTTACTAGATTAGTAAGTGAATTATTTAAAAAAAAAAGCTAGTAAATCTTTACGTAATTATTTTTTTTCATATATTTCATTAGTTTATATGATAAAACGTATGGGGTAACCTTATATGACCTATACCGTATGTATTTTCGGATCCTTAACAACCGTTAATTAAGTTTTGTTGCTTTAACATCTTGAACTATTATTCGGTCAAAAAGCTTGACAACGGGCAAAGATTCAACGTCTTTTGGACTATGTTGATAGAATAATCACGTGCACTTCATAGATTATTGAATTGTAGAGAGTATTTGAGAGAGGCAAGAGATGCCATGGTCAGCTGTGATGCACATCCGAGCTGCTGGAAGCGTTCAAGGACGGACTCTCTGAACCCGTTAAAAGTCGTTGTGTTTTTTTCCGCAGCGTCGGCCATTATCTGCAGGAGTCTTTCTTTCTTTCCTTTTTCAGATTGTTTTTAAAATTGTCTTTCTCTTGCTTGAATATTGTAAAGTCATCGAAGGTTCTCTTCCAAATATTCGTCGAAAGTCAGTTGCCTATGGTTGTTTATTGAATTGACCCTGATATGAGGCGTTTTAACTAAGAAAACCGTGGGTTGGATTATTGTTTCTACAGATATGGACTAAAATAAACAGTCGACTTTTTAAAAAATATATTCTCCAAGGTTGTCTACTGGAACGAATTAAGCGTTAAGCGAACTAAGAGGCTGCGTGGTTTTCCGCGTCTTAAAATAGGTATCGTAACTTAAAAACTGAATATGTAGAACTCTCAAACTGTTTGAGTTTACTTAAACTTTTTTTTTTCGGTAAAGCTTCGAAATGTTTACAGTTCAGTGATAATTGCCATGATCTGTTCCTTCTTGCAACTATTTTTATATTGATATGAGTGACAGAATAGTTCATTCATACATTATGTAAAAAATAAATAAAGCAATAGCAAAATAATAATCCTGAAAATAAATACATGTAAACAAAAAGAAAATTAAACTAATAAAAATAATAACTTAAATACAGGCAAACTTATATACAATGCATCTATTTAATGTTCTTAAGAACGCCCGTATTTTCAGTTTATTAAACACTTACTTACTTAGTGTAGTTTACTTATCTGTTCCACGAATGTTAATAATCCTCTTATTTTATTCTTCTTCTACGTTTCTTGAGTAGCCATTTTAAGTCTTTATTTCTCAAAAAGAATTCTTTAAAAGAAACATTAACATTTCTACTACATTTTTTGTTTAATTATATTTGTCTAAGTCATTTAATCTGTAACTGTTTGTAATATAAAGCTGCGCTTTTCACAAAGTATGAATATGTATTACTCTTTCAGTCACGAGATAAAAATTAATGTTTTCATCAAAGAGTTATGTATGTCCAACCAGTTTTAGAAACATAGTATCCTGTGACATCATTTAAGTTAGATTTTGTTTCTTTCAAATCTCGCGAGTTCTTCTTTGCTTCGACCTCTTTGACTAATATGGAATACCTGTGAAGTTAATGGGAAGCCTGTAATTAATTAATATGAGCGGTTCTTTTAAAATAGTGGGTTTGTTGGATTTAATTTTTTCCTATTTTTCCATTGTTTTGTTTTCCTATCATTATTCTTTTCATCTCTTCTTACTATTGTTACTATTAGTATTTTTTTGGTAATATTTGTTAAAGATGTTCAAATAAACGATTATTTGAGGGTAAATGGATTTCTCATTCTAAACCTAAATATTACAAGAGATATTGCTGAGAGATAGAGAGATAGTTACCAATTGTAAATAATTTGGGTGAATTAATAAGAAATGTATTGGTGTGGAGTTGGTTGACTCAAATTATAATTTGGGGAGTTGGTGGGGTTGGGTGAGGTCCAATTAAATACTATATATTATAATAGTATTTTATTGGTCACGCCGACATTTCGGCCCACTTTGTAGGCCTTCATCAGGGCTAAAAAAAATACAAACTATAAATATAAATCGGTACAAGGTAAAAAAAATTAAAATATAAATTAATGATCAGTAAATATTAAACAAGTACAAGTTGTCCAATAAAGAAATTAATAAACTTAAAAAAGATGACATCAGTGATTAACTTATAATTAAGTTCTATTATAATTTAATTTGATCACACTCCTGGCCAGCTACTCCACAAATAATAAGAAATGTGTTTTTATTTTTTTTAATTTCCATACTTTATTGATTTGTATACCAATTTTAGGTTATGAATTTGTATCTTATCTACAGTAAATGAGGAAAAAGTTTAAATTGAACCAAAACAGAACTTTTAGTTAAGTACTAGTTGCTTTCATCATGATTACATATCAGCTTCCATTAAAAAAATAAACCATAATTTCTGTTGAACAATTTATCTGAGAAAAGAATGTGAACAGTCTACTGTAAAAGGCACATTAGAAAGTAAAGTAATAAAAATAACAATGGTGGAAGGTAGTCTTTGACAAAATTATGAAATTATCGATAATTCATAAGTAATTGAATCTCTTATTTCAGAAACAAAACACTTGCAATTTTCATCGATTTTGATTTGGGACTTGTTGTGGGTATATTATTCATAGTGACATCTTTAATTGACATCCAAAAAAAAATAATAATAACTTTGAATAACCAGAGTGAAGACTGATTGTTTACATTGTATATATTTGAAGACTATTATTTGAAAATTTTAGTTTTAGATAGTTTTTTCCATGGACTTCAAAATTGTATAAATTCCACATATGTGTCATTGCTAAATTAACGGATGCAATTATGTCACACTATAAAAACATCTCTACATCACTTTTACCTCATATTATTTATACCTGATTATTTATTACTTGAGATACCAGCTGATGGTATCTCAAGTAATAAATAATCAGAATTTAGCCATATTCATCATTTTTAATGTACTTCAGGACTAAAAATAAAATCAGAAATACAAGAAAGCTATAAATAATAAACATATCTTATTTTGATTAATTACTTGTTAATACATTGATTTTTTTTTTTAAATCAGTGCTATTGAAAAAATAACTATTCATACATTTGTTTGTATCAATTCATATCACAATCCTAATTGTATCTCTAATTTTATATTTAGATCTGCAGATGATCCTTATTTTTAACTTGAGACGTTGGCTTCTACAATAGAGTTATCACCATAACTGAGTCTTGACTATTTATTATAAAAATTAATCTGAGTTAATATTGTAGTTTCATCCGAAGTTAATATTGTTGTTTCATCACAACTTTATACATAATACCTACCTGAAACAATTCTTATTTATTTAACTTTATCAATTCCAAGGAATTTAAATCCCTTATGTAATCCAACTCTGTAGCGATCAATATTTATCATTAACATTTTATTTTAAATACATGCATTGCAACGTATCAAACGAATGTGTTGTCTTTGGTCCTGTCTTCTTTTATCTTTATAATATTTATATTGTGAGCAAATCTTTAGGCCATTGGCTTTTTAATCTTCTTTAAGGCTCACCAGTTAACACGGAGGAAGAAAGAGATAGGATCAGGAAATTTGAATGATTAATAGTTGAAGAGTGCAATATATTTTTTGTGTATGTAGGATTTTGCTGTTGATATATTGATGTTGTGTATGGTGTGATTTGAAATAAACCTGGATGCATTTACAATTCTTTGAAGTATTTTGAACTGTGCGGTTTGAATTTTGGTTATGTGGACGTGTTTTGTGGAACTTCAAAGTTCTGCTCCATATGTCCGGATAGGTCTTAGTATATAGTGGTGTAGATTAGACGCTTGTTTTCTAAGTTGAGTGGAGATCTGTACTCTAACTTATTACATCAATACCTTTTCTTTTATCAATATCATGTCACAATCCTTCTTGTATCTCTGATTTTATATATAGACCTGAAGATTACAATAAATAACTTTAATTTAATTTTAGTTTGCTAATTAAAATTTAATTTTCTATTTATTTTATTTTTCAGGGCGCTGGCAACCCAAGTGGCTCCTCCCAACCGCAGAGCTATTACCCCGGTGCAATGCCTCATGGGTTTCCTGCATTCAGCCCAATGCAACCCGGTGGTGTCCTTGGCCATGTGCCGCCGCAGGGTGAGTACTTGACTATATATAGTCCCCTTAGCCCACATTTTTGTCTTTCTGTATCATTCTAAATGGACTCGTCCCAAAATAAATGAAGCATTATTATTATTATTATTACTATATAGAGCTATATTTCTTAAACTTCTATCAATAGTTGCATATCCATTGTTGAACATAGCAGTTCTTAAAATTGATTATCATTAACTTAAAGTAATGATTAATCTGTCTATTATATTGTCATTTTTTGTGAAATATTTTTTTGGTCATATGTTGTTTCTCAATAAAATAAAATTTATAAAATGAATTTTGTAATCAATCCGTATTAATTTAGTGTAGTGTAGTAACTTTTACAATTTAAAGAAGTTACGAAGTATTAAAAAAAGTAAATCAATAAAAAAATACTCAGAGCATAGCTCTAGAAATCAATATTACATTAATACACTTAATTATTTTATCTCTAGAATTATCCTTTATAATCCTTCAGAAATTCTCAATATTCAGAGATTATCATTTTCGAATCAAAGAATGTTTAATAAAAGTATTGGTGAACATGAACACTGCTTCCAAATTATAGGTTTAATTTTTTTGTCAACATAAAAAATAAGTTTTTCTTTAAAATTATTGTTTTTTTTTTTTTGTTCCTCGTACAATATATATGTACTTCTCACCACAGGCGGATTTACGGGAGGGGGGGTGGGGAGGGAGGGGGCTTTCCGGCTGAAGCCCCTTCCCCAAAATGGTAAAATATAACCACGTTTTATAGAGAAAAATATTAAAAACATCTCTTAAAGTAATATTGTTCATGTAATTACATTTAATAGGACTTCAAGAATCACTTAAACACCATTTTATATAGGTGGTTCATTTCTTTCTTCTTTTTTTTTTTCAAATTAATTATCGTTATACATATGAAAAAAAATCTTTCGGGCTGAAGCCCCTCCCCTCCCCCCCCCAAAATTAAATCCTGGATCCACTAGTGCTTCTTACATAGATTTTGATTAACTAAATCAACATGTTTCCACTAAAAAATAGAGATTTAAAAACATACCATTAATATTTTGTAATTACTTGTAGGTCATTCACCTCCACCTCATAATTACCATAAAGACGAAAGGACTCAGCGGCAATATAATAAGCTGAAGAAAAAACTTGAGCAAAAGCAACTCAGGGAACATCCACTGAATACTACTCCTCCTCTTTCTCCTAGAAAAGGTAACCTTTTTTTAAATTCTTTCAATTGGATTTAATGTATCTTGTTGTTTTCTCCTTTAAATTGTGATTGATCTCGATTTTTGTTCACAGAAATAAATGGAAATAGCAGAAAAGGAGTTGGAAGCGTTGGAACGTCTGAAGATGGGGAAGAGAGTTCTAGTGTTCAGGATGAGGAAGAAGATACTGGCATTGCAGATGTCCTTGGAAATATTAAAGCACCAGAGGTAGTTTTCCAGATTAGATAATATTAATTTTTAAATATTTTCTCATTTTTTAAAATTCCTCTCAGCACAACTGGATCATTACAAGATATGGACTAATTGCTTATCACCCGTTATGCCTGTTTTGTCTTATATACCCCTTAAGATCTCATAGCATTAACTCAATATTTAGTCACTAGATACCTAAATTGTTTTTTCCATTACAAAATAATTCTAATTTTAAGAATAAACTTTTTATTCTTAAAACAGAGAAAAAATGTCAAGTATTATTTTAAAAGATTTGTAGTATTGAAAAAAATAAGTCCCAGCGATGGTTTCATGTTTATTTTTGGTAAATTTGGTTCGACTTAATAAACTTTAAATCCATTATCCTGAAAAGTCACAGTTTTTAAGATATGATGATGTAGGAACATTTGAGTCTGACATGCCATGGTCACCACCTGTCACGGGATTGGAATTTTGGAACTTCTTGATCTTATCTTCCTTTTTAACTATTAAAATTATTGAATAACATTATTGGGTCTACTTGCTATGGATGGTAATTACTTTTTTCTAGTCTGAGGACATTTCAAAACTAATTTCAAATTATTCATCCCCAAAGAATAAAATTTATCATTATCTCTTTCATATTTTGGGTATTTATGAGCAAAATAAAAATGGTTGTTACAATATATAGAAGATATATTGTGTTCAACTATGCACCAATTTTCTCAATCCTTTAGCTGCTGAAACGTTAATTCTGTGTTTAATCAGATCTTAACCGTCTGCACAAATATCATTACGCAATCATTGAAGATTATTGTGGGCAATCCTATTCTCTGTTCAAATAGGCCAGTTGTAGCCTTTACGAATTTTTATTTACTATTTGGAATCAATTAATTTGCTGAGCATAGGATAAATGATGCAGTCACAACCAAAATGAAAATACCTCGACCTTGCTAAAACATCTCACCTGCATATTTTGTGGTTGGTGGTTTCATCCTCCATACCACAGAACCTGCAGTTCGATGCCTCAGTTAATCTCAGGTTATAGAGATTTTTATTTAGTCGTTAGTGATCCGTATAGAGTCCTATCATATTACGCCATTAAAAAAAAAAAAAAAAATGATCCTCCTCTCAAAGACCCGATTTAAAAACTAATAATTTTTCCTAATAGTAGGCCCAGGGTTAGTAGAGATTAGGGCAGTTGGAAAAATATTGAAATGCCTGGTTTTTATAAATATATTTTTTTTATATATATATATATATATATATATATATATATATATATATATATATATATATTATTTTGATATCTCCGATAGTAGTATTTTGATATCCCAATAAAAAAAAAACTATATTTTCTGAAGAAAATAAAAAATAAACAGATAAAAAAATTCTACAAGCAGAGCAACTCACTCTGGTTAACACATCAAAACGAAAATATTTTTAAACACAATATCTGGGAAATATTGGATTAATTTTTTTTTTTAAGTTCTCGGTAATGTGTTTTTCTTTTTAGTTTGAGATTTACTATTAAAGTGTTAAATATATGTTGTTAAAAGGATAGGTTTCAGTTATTATTAGTTCTTTTTTTTTTCTTGCTCTATGTAATTGATTTATCTCTTGTTTTTAGTAATAAGTCTTTTTTATAATAAATGTTAATATTTTTGTAGGTTTTTAATAATTTATTCAGTATTGATTTTGTTGTCTAATTTCTAATATATATATTTTTTTTAATTGACCAATTGTAATAAATTGATACATTATTTTGTAATAAGCAATGCATAAATATTTGGGATAATACAAAAATGGTAAAATTAGTGCGATCAAAGCTATTACAAATTTAAAAATTCAATTCAGTATTAACTCTCATTCTATTCTTTTGATTATTAAATGTAATTGGAGGCCAAAATATCTTAAAACACTATCATGTCCTAATATATTGAAATGTCAAATTTTTTTTGCTCTATAGGATTATTATTATGATATATATATGAAAAATATCAATACAAATATATAAATTTTTGTTTTCTATATTTCTCTATTAGAGATAAATAAGTGCTCAGTCTTGAAAGTTCATTAATATCGTTTGAAATATAATTTTTTTTTTCCAGGTTAGTGATGTTACTAGTCGAACAGCTCTTGTTCAGTGGAGTCCTCCCCAGATAGAAAATCCCCAAGACGTTAGCTATGATGTTTTGTTGAGTGACAGGGGGAAAGAAGGAAAATACAAATCCATATATACCGGTGAAGCACTTTCTTGCAGGTAACCTAAAAGATCGTTTGACTATTATTATTCAAGTTATTTTATATAATTGTCTTTCAAATATTTTTCAATTTATTATTATTTTAATTTTATATAAATAATTATTATCTAACAGGATTGAAGATCTGAAACCTGGTACTGAATACTCAGTTCGAGTTAGCGCACGTTTAGAAACTTTGGTCGGGTGTGCAAGTGAGGCAACCCTTTTAGTAACTCCTCCTTGTAAGCCTGATGCTCCGCTGGCGCCTAAGCTTTCATCGAGAAGTCGAAATTCCATCACTTTAAAGTGAGTTAATTAGATAAATCAGGTTTTATGAAATATGACTATGTTTACTTGCATCAAATTTAATGTAACAGTGTATAATACACTTATAAACATTATAACTATGTTTGTTTGTATAATATTTTTTATTATGGTATTTAAAAAATATTTTAGTTCGAATGAACAAGCACAAAAATGCTGCAGTAGTGTAGATTAGATTATTTAAATAATTTTTATGAAGGCCATGAAGAAAAACCTAGGGCTTCGGCGGTAATTTTCCTAAGCCCTTGTTAAATATGAAATTTACTACTAAAACCCAACCAAAGCCTTTTATAAAGTATGCAAAAAAATTATTATATAAATATATTTAATTATTATATAAATATATTTAATTATTATATAATATATGTTATGTTATCTATATTTTATTTGGGTGTATACTTAGGAGTTAGAAAAAAATTTTAAAGATCAGGCCGAGCTCCCTTCAAAGTCTGTCTGCCCCTTATCTTTTTAGACTGTTTTAATATTTTTTCATTTATATATCTTTAAAATACATATACATTTCCTCCATTTCATATTCTATTTATGATTAATTATATTTCTTTCTGACATAAAACTAAAAATTTAAAGATAGATCATTGTATTACTATACGTACGTTGAAAAAGTGTAATTAAATAAAACATTGTTATGGAAGAAAAAGATTATTCGATACCTTATATACGTTAATTGATTACCTTCTATAGAACATAGATTAGTATTATATCTTCCTAGAATAGAAGAAGTTATTATATAATTTTTAATACTTTTTCATAGATGGTCTGCAGCTTTGGATAATGGTGGACATATAGACCACTACGTTGTTGAATGGGAACAAAACGGTTCATGGAGTGAAGCAGCAAAAAGCAAAAGTAAACAAGCCCACATTCCTAAGTTGCAACCAGCGACTTCATATTGTTTTAGGATCGCCGCAGTTAATCAATATGGAAAGAGGTAACTAAATCTGTAATTTACATATTTTTGCCATAACAAATTTTCATGTACTTGTAACACACAAAACGTCAGTTTTGGATCAACATTAATGAAATAAGAATGGATGAAATTGTAATTTAGTTTCAAGTACTGTTTAGTAACTATAGAAATAGAATTTAGAGCAGAATTTTAATTTTCAAGGACAGCGTTGGGCCAATTCTCTTGTATCATTAATAATGATTAAACTTTTTTAAATTAACATTACTAAATCTATCTAGGCTTAAATTTTTAACTATTTCATTAACCACTAGACTGATCATGTTGTTATCTATTTTTTTAAAAAAATATGATTTCCTGAAAAGCATTTTTTTTTCTTTCTTTTTTTTTTTGCACGACATAGTGCTTGCAAATGACTTTCATAATTGTATTCCCTTTATCAAAGATCGTACAAAAAATACATTGATCCTTAGAATTGTGTATTCTAGATAGAATCCAAGATGAATATTTTCATTTCCATACGTATTACTTTGATTTCTTCATATTTCATTATTGTTATTCAGAAAAACTTAAATTTCATCTCGCCCCACTAAAACAATAGTTTATCATCTAAAATTTCTTCCATCAGCTGTGTCCTTGTCAATTTAATCAACTTTTATTTCTGTTTTATGTTGGCTATTATCTGTATGAAAATACTTAATTACAGTTCTTTCATCTGTAGCATTGACATGAGAACCACCATAATTTATTTAATGGTTAAAGTCATAATGATGAATCTTTATTGTTAGTTATTAAATTTGTAAAGATGGTTTTCTTATTGTTCAATAAAATAACTCATTGATGAGTCGGTTTAATGTGAAATTTTATTGTTATTGCTTAAAATACTGTCTCCTGTTTGCAATAAAACTGAATTATTTAATAGTGAAATAAAAACTGAAGTAAATAATAAGAATTACATTTTATGTTTTTTCTGGCCAATGTTCTTCAATTAAGGAAAACTATTAAAATTTGGATTGTAATTATCTGAATTCTTTAATTATAATTGTATTTCTTCCATATGATGACAGTTACTTACACATCTACAGGGGATTAACATACCTCTGGTAGAAAAAAAAAAATGAAGAGCTATATGAGCTTTATAAAAATGACAATATTGTTGGCACGGTCAAAATACAACGCCTCAGATGGCTTGGCCATGTAGAGAGGATGGAGGAGAATAGAGTGCCAGGAAAACTTCTCCTTAGAGGAAGACTCCGGCTGTGATGGATCAATGACATAAAAGAAGACCTCAGCCGTATGGATATAAGAAGATGGGGAAGAATAGCTGCCGATAGGGAAGCCTGGCAGAGGCTTGTTTTTGAGGCCTAGGTCCGTTAAGGACTGTAAAGCATATTAATAGTATGGGTGATAAATATTCGGGATGCAGTATTTTTTTTTAATTTAATTTTGTATTTATTCCAACGTTTTCAGGGTGTGATTTGAGCACTGAGGGTGTTCAAATTCGAGTACTTGAACACCCTCAGTGCTCAAGCCACACCCTTATGGTGACCCACATGTTTGGGTTGAAACGTTGGCATAAATAAAAATTAAATTTTTTTTTAAAAAAAGACTGCGTCCTGAACTACAGAACAGTTGACTAACTTCCAACTAACTAAATCCTTCCATATTAATAATAATTAAAATTTAGATTGTAATTATCTGAATCCTTCAATTTTAATTGTATTTCTTCCATATGACGACAATGACTTACATAGCTACAGGGGATTAACATACTTCTGGTTTCCTGAGTTACACTATACAAACACACTCATAGAACAGTACATAATTCATCATACTGACACCACATCACATACATTACACTCTCTGGTGTCACCTCTCCTTGAAAGCTGCATCAGACATGGGAGCAAGTCAAGATGCTCTAAGGAGCAGTCCCTCTCCTTGACTCCTTGAAGAGCAGGGGTCTGATAATCTGCTCCCATTAAATAACTTATTATAAGACATAACCAACCTAGAAGATCTGATGGACTGGCTAAGGGCTTATAAAAAAGAAATATCACACTATTTATTACAGCTGCCCCCGTATGAACCACTCCTTATGGTTCTGTTTTATTGTCGACGATGAATGAGAGAGCAGGTTTTTATATTCAGTCCTATTAATGAATGTTTGTATGCCCTCCACATTGAATGAACTTTAGTATAATATAATTTTAATCTTATTAGTTGCCTTTTGCTTATGAAGCTTTAAGTGATGAGGAAAAGGATGTTTTTTTTAACAAATTGGAAAGAAGTTTTGATCTCTGTTGTAGAAGGAAGATTTAAATTATGATGGGCAATTCCCTAATGTAAAAATAAGAAACGATTGAGCCTACAGACTTACCACTGGCTTTCGTAGCCTTCACAAGGACAGTAATGACAACAGGAAGAAGGACTGTTATTGATTTTACCCCATCGAGGAATATGGTAGTTGGAAGCACTCTCTTTCCCAGATGCTATATTTACAAAACTGCATGGAGATCTCCAGGGAGCATCACAGCTGCAGAACATTCAGAGTAGTCAACGTTGGCTCTAATCATCTCAAAACAAAATATAGACCTTTAAAAATGGTATATTGCTAAACTCAAGATCCTGATAGCTGCAGAGACTTTCAAGAGATAACTGACGAGAAAGTGAGGAAGGCTCTTAAATCAGCTAATCCCATGAAATTATCCAGGATGCTCTTGAGTTTTCAGTGGGCAATTGAGGGATATGCTGGGGATACATTTGGCAAAAATGAGTCATGAAGATCTTATGAATGTTCTGATGAGGAATGCAAGGAGGCTAACAATGCAAAGATTAAAGCTTACAGTAGGTATTGTAGCAGGAGAGCCACCTAGGACTATCGGAAAAGTAGTCCTCATGAAAAAAAAATTGGCAAGAAGAGATGCTTATTACCAAGGAGGATATCTGTAATTGGTGGGTTAGACATTTCAAATCCTTTGGAGTTACAAGTATGATTTTTGTTGTCAATATTCTTTTGTGTTTACCTATAATTTTTTTTTTTTCAAGTTATTGTAAGTCTTTGTCATATACCTGGATAATATAATTTGTGCGATCAGGACAATATAAAATTGTTTGTAGTTCTTAAAATCCTTAAATATTACCTTAACTAGATGAAAAATTAAATATTTGTTCATGTTGATATAAATATATACCCAATCACCTCTCTGCTCAAGTGTTGGCTTTGTAGCAGTTCTCTTTCATGGATTGTAGTAGTACAGATTTATATACATAGTATGTATCTTTGCAGTGACTACAGCGGTGTGGCTACATTCACCACTTGTGACAGCCCTCCTCCACAACCATTGCCACCTAACTTGACCTTAGCAACACCTTCATCGCTGAGCCTCGCATGGTCAATTAGACCCCAAGATGATGAATTCATGCTTCAGATGGAAGATCCTGAGTCCAAGCATGGTTTCCTCCCTGTCTACAGTGGAAAGGAATGCTCTTATATCTGCTCAAGTTTAAGAAAGAACACTACTTACAAATTTAGGGTAAGAAGATTTTTTCTTGTTTATATTTTTAAATAGACTGGCCCATAACTTATAAAGATAAATACTTCATGACTGTAACTATTTGATGTATGTTTAGCACACTTCACTGTGTCTCATTTCATTACTATTTTCTGATTGGTGTTACCTATCATAAATATTGTAACACATACTATTTATAAAATTTAAAAATCGATCCTATTAAATGTGGCTAGATCAGATCGCTACCCTATAATCTGTATGTTATCTGTCCATCCCCTTCCTTTTTGGACAGATAACATACAGATTATAGGGTAACATAAAGACATCAAACTAAACAAATAACGATTGAAATAATGAATTGAGAAATTATTTACATTACAAAAAGTAATCTTTTCTAAATGCAAATGAACATATAGTACCAACACTTTTTTGTGTCACAACAGGTGATTTCTTTAACTTTGATTTTCAACATTGTAATAAACATGATTATTTGTTACTTTTATAGTTGAAATCCCAAAATGATGATGGCTGGTCACGTTGGTCCGATGAGGCGAGGTATAGTACCCTACCAGGGCGACCTGGCCCTCCATCGAGGCCTCAGCTCAAAGGCAAGATACACCTGCATTTCTTCAGGCTGAAGTGGGACCCTCCTGTTGACACCGGTGGCGCACCTGTCACCAGCTATACCGTCCAGATTGTCAAATACAATAAAGACGGAGGTAACATTTTTATTCATTGAGTATTACTTTTGATTTATCGAAATAATGGTTCTACATTATAAATCTGCTCTTCACTGTTATAGAATATCAAGTGGTGTACAACGGACCCAATCTGTCATGTACCATCGAGAAGCTGGAACCTGGTACAGCTTATCAGGTACGAGTATGCTGTGAAGGGCCAGGAGGTACCAGCGACTTCTCCGAGACAGCTTTACTCGCTACAGAGCCAGTTTGCCCCGGTGCTTGCTCTCCTCCTAGACTCCATGGCAGGGTCAGGTCTCATTCTATTCCCATCAAGTGGGGTAAGAACCTATTTTATATGTATTAATTTATTTTTTATAGTACATATCTATCAAAATCAATTATATATATTATTTTATATTTATGTATCTTTTAAATCAGAATTTAATTTAAATAAGAACTTAATTTTTGTTTTTAATAATGGGCAATCCCTTTGAAAACAAACTTATTTTTCTAGCTAGATTATTATTAGGGAGTTTTTACATAGATAATTTAACGGCATTTAGTAGAATGTAACAATCCACAAAATATGTGGAAATGGGTTTGGGATGGTTTAGAATGGGATTAGTACTTCGTATTTTCTTTTAAAAAAAATCATCTCTTGTTCAGATGTATTTATTGGAAAATTGAAGTAGAAAAAAAAAATTGAAAATAGAATGTGACATTTATATTAAAAAAAGAACCAAACCACTTTGATGTTAGTTTTTGATCAATGAATTGATTCAGTTGACGTATTTTGGGATGGCTAAACTTTAAAATAAAATTAGGTTTGTGACGAAAAAGAAAATATTCTTATTCAAAAGCTTTCGAATTTTTATTCAATAAAATGCCGTCCGATTAATATGGCTTCTTGTATACTCATTAATCGATACTCCGGAAAATATTTTTAGCACTTATCTATGATGTATGTTGCGTATTGGCAGACTAATGAACAGGAAATTTTATCTTTTTAAAATACTTTGATGCCGTTCCATGAAAAGTTTACTGATTATGATAAAGATAAATAAAGATCGTATAAAGATGAATTTGAGAATCTAAGGAGCTTGTAACACTTTGAGTTTTTTTTTGCCCATTTTTCGGATTTTTACTGCACAAAAATTCTGGTCTCTATAAATTACATTACTGTCCTATATTTCCATCTAATAAACTATTTTATCTAAAGCTGTAACTATTCACATAATCTGGTTAAATGACAGATCAGAAATAAACTATTTGAAATGACATAACTATTGATAAAGTGGTATTAAACCTTATGTTTTTAAGAAGAAAAGAGTACTCAATTCTTCTTAGACATTCATTCAATTAAAAGACCAATAATTTTTTCATTAGAAAATTAATAGGAGATTCAGTTGCTGGGTGGCTCAATCTTTTGTACTATAAGTGAAAACTGTCATTGTAATATAATGTAAATTTATATTACAATATGTTGCACTTCAAATAATTATCAAAAGTTATGAACTTATGAAAATGAAGTACATTTTTAAAAAATATGAAAATAATAATCACTTAAACAACTTAAAAAAACAACATTCAGAGCGGTTTTTAAAAAGACTCACCCTATTTTGGTCCGAAGCGGCACATGTTATCAGCTCCATGTTAAAGTAACGAATGTGCAATGTTGACCAGGTTAAAATTTGTTACTGTAACTTGGTGTAGATGATGTCAGCAGTAGTTTCAGAAATAAAGTCAGGCGATCACTCAACATAACATGTTCGAACTCTGTTAACCATTACCTTCTCTGAATCCTCTTCTAGCTCTACATCGAACTTTTTAACATAATGGATAAACACAACTTAAATCTTAACCTATTTTTAAAAAAATCTATTTTAAACAATTATCTTTTTAAACAATTACATTTTCAATTAATATAGGTTATAAAAAAGAATTAATGGATACAAGATTAAAAAAAAAATAATTGTTTAGATTTCTGTGCAAGTTTCAAATTAACAAATTAGCTTTAGGGTGGTAACATAATGAATGCTATCTCTGTAATTTGTTTAAATGGTATCAAACAATTTCAATTAAACATCAACTCAATTCAATATTCCCTACAACATGAAATTAACAGAGGTCAATAAACAGAAACATTTTTTCTTTAACGGTCACTCCAAGAATCTGGATAGTGCCTCTTTATATAAAAATAAGCCTTTATTTGTTCAAAAAAATCGATTTGTCATTGAGGATTGAGTTTAATTAATGAATAAGAAGATATATTAGTAATATATATTTATGACACTCGATTTTTTATGTTAAAAACCAAAGATTAAAAAAGGAGCCAACAAAAAATATTATGTATATATCTTCTTATTTATTAGATAAACTTACTCCTCTATGACAAAGATTTTTTTGCTATGTATATTTTATAATTTTGTTTGATATATAGGTAGAGTAGGAGTTTTAGGGTGATAAATTTTAGAATTATTACGCCCTCATTTGATATATAATTAAGTAGGAGTCATGAAATGGATTCTTTAAATATCTTCAGAAACATTTAAAAAATTTACATTACCAAAAATATTTCATTAAGTTTATTTTTATTGAATAACTTATTTTAAATGTCTTTATTCTGTCTTTAAGGATATCCTGAAAATGATGGAGGCTCTTCTGTTACCGAAATGGAGGTTGGAGTAAGATCTGCTGAAGAGACGGAACTGAGAACTGCCTATAAGGGGAAAGAGACTGAGTGTGTTGTTAATGATCTGAGACCTTCTCAACTTTACACCTTTGTAGTCAGAGCTGCTAACAAGGTAATTTCATTGCATAAAACTTTAATAATTTATTTTTATTTTTATCTATCTGTTTGGTCAGGTCAGGAGGGATATTTTGTCAAGTTGATTAATAAATAATTGCCTTTACAGGTTGGCCCCGGCCCCTGGTCTGAAGCTCTGGAAGTGATGTCAGGTTGTGCGGCACCCGGTATCCCTCCCCCACCTACCTTGGGTCTTGGCCCAGGATCTGTGACCTGTTCTTGGGTCGCACCCCCTCACCACGGCTCGCCAATCACCTCTTACACCCTTCAGATGGCTACTCCTCCTGGTGATAATTATAATCAGGTTTACATCGGCCCTGCAACTCATTGTGAAGTAAAACCAGTTCCTCCTGCCACCCTCTGTCTCTTCAGGCTTCAGGTAAGGTTATAAATATTATATAATAAGGTTCCTATTTATTCAGGTCTTTATTCAGAAAAGTTTTGTTCTTTTAGAATAATATATCTATACAAACTGAATCTTAAAAAATATATACAGTCCAATAAACATCAATTGGTCCAATTATCAAGGAAATACACCGTATCATTTGGGAAATGTGAAATTGGGAGAATATTTTTTTTTATTAACGTAATTTACAACTGTAATTAATAATAAATACAACAAGTATATATGAACAAGTAATATGACATGTACAACATGAAGAGAAACTACCCATTGGTAGCATTCCAATTATATTTCTATATTAGAAGGTCCCGACTTCTTTTCTTCTTCAGACGCCTCGGAGGGTTATCAGGAATAGAAGAGGAAGCAAGGTTGGAAACGAGAGGGTTTGGATGGTTCAGAAGTTTATTATGAAAGGACAGGTATCTGGATTGAGCTAAATTGGAAACATATGGTACATTAGGTCATTATGGATGATTTTATTTGTGACAAAGTAGGGAGCATTAGGATTTACGAAGGATTTTGGATTGTAGGGATTGGATACGAGAGGAATTTGATGGTTTAGTAGAGCCCCAAAGCTCGATCCCGTAAGTCCAAATAGGCCTTATTATAGTAACATATGTAAGTCTTTTGTAAATAGTTGGCAGTTTAGAGAGTTTGTCTAGTAAGTGCTGGAGTAGTCAGAAATGTCGGGCGGTTTCTAGTCGTTTCAGTCTGGTATGGGGGTTCCAAGTGAGTCGTTTGTCAAGGTGGAGTCCTAGGTATATCGGATTTGGTCAACAGGAATAAGTGGAGTATTGTTAAAGGATACTGTAGGACAGGAAGTCATAGGTTTACGACGAAGAGTAAAGGTAATTTGATGGGATTTATTGGAGTTTATGGCAGAATATATAAACTGATAACGAAATAAATAGGGGCTGATTTTAAATAGATATAATCCTCTAGATAATAGATCCTGAGTCTATATTTAGTAGGTATTAATGAAAACGGTACTAATAGTAGTATAGTAGTAGAATCAGCTGCTCTATTAAGGAAATACAGTGTCAAACTGTAAAACCCTTCATCCATTCTCACAATTATTAAGTTTTGTCAACTTTTCAACACCATAGTAGATCAGGCATCACAGTAACTGTTAGGCCATTGATCTAAGACAGCAGCAAACGTCCTTTTAATTCCCAATGTTTTTTGCTGAAATATTTTTTTTTTTTTTTTTTTATGTGCGACTTGTATTTCCTTTTGGTGATCTTAATAGTATTAACTTACTCCATTGTAATAATTGGAACATTAATAAACTGTCCGAATCCTGAAATGAACCTTTGTAAGTAAAGTAGTATTTTATAAAAACCTTTGTCGTATATCTTTCTTTCCTATCATCTATCCAACATACAGTTTTCCGCAAGGACAAAGTAATTTTTATATAAGTCTCGCTTAGTTCTCTTCTGTTGGATCTAATCTTTGTTATTTTTCATGTGCATGATCCTGAAAATTTTTTTAATAGTGTGACTTCTTTTTTGGGACTTAATTTTACCATTTATTCCATATCTTATAGAAATTGAGTTTCTCTTCTACCATTGAAATCATTAAATCTAATTTTTTTTTACTTAAATCTTTTTATTTTATTATAATAAATTATGGTTACTGCTTTAATAAAACGATAGGATTTTGTTTTACTATAATACTGATTTATTTTTAAAAGTATTAAAAAATACACAATTCTTAACAGATCAATTGATACTATAAATATTCCTGATAATCAATTTGTCTGTTTGATAGGCTTCTAACAGTATAGGAGTGAGCGAGTGGTCTGAAGTAAGGACTATCGTGACCAGTGCGGGACCACCTGGAGCTGTTCCTGGATTGAAGGCCTCTGTTGTCAGCCCTACTTCCATTTCCTTGACCTGGGGTGCACCTCAGTCGAATGGCGACTTGGTCACTTATTACACTGTTGAAGCCGGTGACTTCTCCACAACTGTTACGGAAACCAATTGCGTTCTTGATGCTCTTGCTCCCGCTACTACCTACAGGTAAGAATGTTTCCAATTTAGTAATTGCATGATTAAAAATAGTTTCTGCGGTGTCCATGAGTTCATGATTGATTTCAAAACGAATGTTTGCTAAATTATGGCATATCTCGAGGTAATTAAAGAGCTACTTTTATTCAGTTAAAATATTTATATAATGAATTACTGAAAAGAAAAATGACATACTAAATAAAATAATGTTTTAATCGGAATGGTATGATTGTGTGATTAACATTTAACCAAATAACTAAAGTTTTGTCGATACCACAGGATTCGAGTTAGAGGTGTGAACAGCATCGGTCCCGGTGCAGTATCCTCCCTTAAGGTGTCAACACTTCCACTGCCACCTGAACCACCTCAGCTAACCTGTGCCACATCCGGTCACAACTTCCTCAAGCTGCGGTGGGGAGCTCCAAACTCAAATGTTAACAATCATGTATTCACTGTTGTCATGTCATTACATTCCAAGTAAGTTAATGCTTCCAGAGATATTTCTAAATGGATGTTACTGTTGTATATAATTGTTTAATGTAATCATTTGTAATTCTAGTAGACGAATGTTAGTTTACGAGGGGACCAGTACCAGCTGCAAGGTCTCTAGATTGCAAGAGCAGACCTCTTATAATTTTACAATAACAGCTTCTAATTCTACTGGAAAAGGACCGGAGAGTGAAACATATACCTTCCCTACAGTTATTGCACCACCACCTCTTGTCAAAGGCTAGTTCATAATATATCTTTGATTTCTTGATATGTAGTATGATTTTTAATCTTTAATATTTTTAATTGTGTAATACTTTTTCTTATTTTGGGTTGTTATATTACTTTGTTTTCCTCATGATATATATGCCCTTTATTCCTTCCCATCACCTTACATCATTTAATATTTTATTTTGAAGGCCTTAAATAAAGAAAAACAAATAATTAAAACTTTAAAAAAGCTTGAATGTTAGTTAACAGGAAATGTTTAACTAATTTCAATCAGAATTCAGAAACCATTTTGAACAGATTAGTTGTCTTTTTAATGCCCTGTTTTTCTGTAGATATAAACCATTTCAATATTTGATAAATTATCAAAATAAAAACATTATTTATATTAATGTTTATGTTTTTCTACTACTAATAAGTCTTTTCTTTAAAAGTTTGAAAACTCATTTCAGAAATTTCAATTTAGGTATCTAAGTTACAATTTGAAAGCTTCATCTTAATATTTTTAAAATTTGATGTTAATTATGTTTATGTCAATATGGAAATTTATTTCATATTAGTAGTGAAATAATTCATTTCCATAATTTTCTCTTTAAATTATTTTAAAAAGAGTGTCAACCTACTATCGAGCAAATATGGTACTTGTTGTCAGAAAACAAATAACAATGTTGTCAAATTCCTTTACGCCCAATTTAATTAAAAAAGCAAAGAAATTATTTTTTATTTTTTTATTATAGGTTTGAAGGTTAATGAAATTAGCAACAGAAGCTGTCATGTTGAATGGTCAGCATTGAAACCACAGGGTAACGACCGAGTTGACTATACCATTCAGTGTGCTCGCCTGCGGGAGCAAACCTATAGACAAGTAAATTTTTATTTTTATGGATAAAGCATTTAATAAGTGATTTGATTATTGAATCATCTAACATTCATATTGTTTAATTTATTATTTGCTAGGTATATCGTGGAAGTGAGAACAAGTGCGAGATATCAGACCTAGAAGCAGGAGCAGATTACCTTGTGCGTGCTTGCGCCATTCGTCTAAGCCCCAAGGGTCCGATTGAAGGCCAGTTCTGTAACCCTGTATCTCTTTCGACCCCACCCGTCCACCACGAGCCCCCTCAGCACCCCATCGTCAGACAGCACCATCACCAGGTAAACTTTTCATTGTTTGCTTTATTAAAGGTTAAGTTGTTAAGATTATATTATTATAATTAGAAAAATATTTTTCTCCCCTATTTATATTGCTTTTTTATTTAGGCTTTTAGGAAAAAGAGATGTGCCACTAAAAATAGCAATGTGACAAATTTTCATTTTTATAGACAATTCTCAAGAGTTTTTCCTTTAAGATAAATGAGCATAGTTTCTTTTTAATGTGTAATATCCTTATTAGTTAACAATTGACTTTTTTTTTTTAAGTGTTGGAACTACTTACCAGCTTTTATACAGTTTAGTAGTGATAATATGAAGTGGTAATTTAGTTCTTTGCAATTGTATTTACCTTATTAATTAACTTTTTCCTATTTGTTGATGAAGGGAAACGGAAGGAGGCCACTCACGGACCAGCAGTGGGCAGGAATCATCTTATCAGGGTTCATCGTCCTTGCCGTGCTGTTCGCAATGCTCATCGCGCACATCATCTACTGAATGGAAGGATCGTGGCTGGATCTCTCCGACTTACCTTTAGCGCCAGCTATTTGACCACTAGTACATTTCCAAAGCCCGATTCCCTAAAGCACAAAGTTGTGCACAGGAAAACGAGATTTAGAGTTATTTTTATAAGAAGCTGTTCATATTTCTCCTTACAGTATTTGGTCATACAAAATCAGTGTTTTAACACTATAAAAAAGTATATATGATTATGCAATTATATGTATTATATATTAGAAATTTATTTACAAATGGGTTTATGAATTTATTGAATTCTTGTATGTGTAAATATATAAATATCGTAATCTCTCTTATTTTTTAAGTGTTCATCATATGTATATATACTCTTGATATATATAGGTATGAATTACTCATGGTTTACATTTATAAATTGTATATTATTAAATTAAACGAAATGAATTTATCGTAACTTTTCGAAATATACATATTTAATTAATTTATTTTGTTATCGACAAATGTTTGGAAGATTTTTTGTACATTCAGATATATTGCTCAGCCAAATAACGTGTCAATTTAATTGCAGTTATGTAGTGATGTAGGAACGATTAAGAAACGAAATAGGAAAAGACTGCAGATGTTAGTATCTTGAGATTAATGGCGCAAGCTTAAGAGCATTATATTGAAATGACATGTTAAACGTTTTATAATTTTATACAATTATTTTGCCTAATTACATTTTTAACATTTATTACAGTTGTATCATTGTTACTTATTATTTTTAACAGTGGTGTGTAAGATTGACTTAAAGCAATTGTTATAAAAATCTAAAAAAGGCCCTAAAAATATTGTTATTTAAAAAAAAAAAAACTTCACTAATCTTTGGACTAATACATGCTCTTAACTGACAGCGCAACGAGCGGTACTACTGACGGTTAGGTTTATGTAACGAAAGGTTCACGCATAACTACAAGAGACCTAATAAAACCCCCATTTATATTTACACCACTTATTGATGGTATGCTTAGAGTTTGTTAATGTAATGGTGAAGACTGTGCAATATAAACGGTGCTTGATACTATGATAGTTACCTATGGTCACTTCCAGATGTGTGTTTGGTGTACCAAAATTTATGTCCAAAATTGAAAGGTGCATAAGTGCTATTTTTGTTATTCTTTGGTAAATGTGTATTTTTATTATTTAAATTTGTAAATATTCATATGAAGTTTTACATTAATTATGAAATTGTTTTAATATTTATTTTATTCTGTATTTTTTTAATTTTTAAACACTTTTACGATGGAGGTTTAAATTGATAAAAGTGTGTTGTTATTTCTTACATGGGGTGCATCAAAAGCACTAATTGTTGCACCTTTCAATGCTGTTTCCATTATTAATTAAATGTTACATCATAGATTAATGTCTTTACGTATAGATGTATCAATGTCAGTTCCATTATAGTGTACAGACGTCTTTAATGTTCCATTCCTTTTCAAGAGACCTCTTAACACTTATTGTGACTGTTGGTGCATTTCTTCTTTTTATAAAGTTAACCTATTAGATTATTAATTGTTACTGTTAAAATATGCTATATCAAGTATAATTAACAAGAATTGTTAAAATTTTAGGTGCAGTCATAAAAGGTTATATATTAAAATTCTATAGGATTTAATTAAATAATTATATGCATATATATGAAAATGATTACATGCTATATTTTATGTATGTCGATTATCTATATTATTAAAATTTCCACTGAAAATGTCAAAATTATTGTTCCTTATTCCCTATCATATCCTTGAACGTATGGAAATATCTTATTTTTTACTTGAAAATCCCTTGTTTATATTTATAAATTTCATATCATTATAAAGTTGATTCTAGTAATTTATTTATATTAAAATAAAAATGAAATAGTGGAAAACCTCTGCAAATAATCCAGTGTCCAAGTTATTATGACTTCAGGGAAGGGTACATAGCTGGGAGAGTGAGAAGGCCAAAGCTGCTTAGGAAGTGATACAATCAAACTTAATGTTAACAAGTGAATGATAACTTCCACAATAGAGATATGCAGAAAGTGTTGAATAAAGACAGTAATTGAGTTGTGGAGCAGTGGTCGATCAAGGCATGTTCTGAGGGAGAAGCGCACTTGTGAAATTAGTGAATTTCATACACCCAAGGTTATTTACACTATACACACACATGTAGATGTGTGTATGTATGAATATAAAAAGAAATATGTATTTCAGTATTTTTATTTCATCTAGTATTGTGCCATAAAAAGCATTGGATAATTGACATCTATGAACCTAAAACGCAACATTTTTCCTTTGATTCAAATAAAAATAATTTCCAAGGGATAAGAACACTTCAACTACTTTTAGCTGCAATATTTAGCTATTTTGCCAATAAATGGAGAATTTTTGGTGTAAATTCTCAATTTTTTAAAATTATTGGTTGTTTTTTAGTATAAAGCATAAATAAAAGTTATTTGTTTAATATAATTCACTTTTCAATTAAAATAATAATAATAATAGTGCCAATTGTCTAGTTAATTTTTTCAAGATAAATTTTTTTCTCATCTTCAAGGGGAAGAGGGGCACCCCTCCGCTGGATATGCTAGCGTATTAAAATGAATTCTGTCTCCTGGTAAAATAAAATTTACCAACAATTTCTATAGTTGGAACAAAATTTACCGTAACAGGAATCTAAAAATTTTGATGTATTTATTTCAATAAAGAAATATTTTAATTTTACCATCTTGTTTAAATTTGAACCTACACCAGTAGAAAATCCACGATTTTATTTATTTATTTTTTTGGGGGGGAGGTGCTTTTTTTTTTTTTTTTTTTATGTTAATTCGTAATATAGATGCTTTGGAAGATAAAATGTATCTATATGAAATGATATTAATGTGATCCTTGAAGGAAAAAAAAAATGTTATTGCAGGAAAAATAATACATTTAGAGAGTAATTTCTTATATTATTTCTTGTCATGTTCCTACATTTAGTATTTGCATTATAGTTTAAAGAGAAAATATATTGTGATTGCTTACATATTTAGATAAATCAGATTAAAAACTTGGACCAATAAAAAAAAATATATTTATTCATTTTAAGGGCAGGTTGACTACAGGCCGAAAGTCTCCCCTTGGAGATCTGCAACTATCCAACACTGTTTGTCTAATTGATGAAAAGGCCTGATACTATATATTTTGAGAACTATTCAGTAATGAAATTAACCAGAATGAAATTGTACTAATCATAGTTTATGTAATCATTCTAAATGGTTGTTATGTCTTATGAATTATTTCATATTTAAAATCTTGATATTTGGCAATCATACTTTTACAAAGTTTAGTATTCATCCTAGCCACATGGCCTACCTAGCGGAGTCGACCAATCTTAATAAATCTAACGAAATTATTCTTCTGGAAAAGTTCCTGCAGTTATGCATTGGTTCTTGAATAAATATCTGCTGTAATGTTTATTGGATATCCTTAAGTTCGTCTTATAATATAGATCTTCTTCAGGGCTAAAAAGAATTAGAAGATACAGAAAAAAATAATAATAATAATTAGAACAAAGCATATAAATAAAAGTCGACCCCTCTTCGTCGAGCTGGTGTATGGCAGGATATGACAATAATTGAATTGCTGATTAATGTTTTTAAAAATAATTTCTAAACATTCAGCATTAGTGGAAATGAGGCGGTATTAAATCCAATCAATCTTAGACATTCTCTCTGAAGACTAATCTCTCATTACCGAAAATCATTATTTACATTTGAACACATTTTTAAGCCTTATTTGCTAACAAATAGTTCATGCTGCTCTTAATTGAGCTACCTCGAGAATGAAGAATGGGTAAGCTCAAGGACTAAATAATATAATGGCAGAATTTGTGAAGTATGGTGGACTAAAAGCTCTCTGTCAAAAACCCTTTACCTACTTAGAGGAACAGTTATAGACAGATCTGGAAAAATGGACTCGGAAATTTATTCATTCATTTCATTGCTGGGCTCTACAATCCTTGAAGAACCATGGCCTCTGCTAACAACGTCTTCGACATATCTCTGTCAGCAACGAAGCGCCTCCACCACTTTACACCCATCTCCTCCACTTCGTCCAACCATCTGAGCCGTGGCTTTTCACGCCTTCTTCTATCTCCTGGCTTTCCATAGAGAAGTTTTCTTATAGGCCCCATCCTCTCCACATGCTCCAACTATCGCAATCTGTTGAGTTGAATGACTCTAGCAATATCATGTTCACCATAAAGCTCTTTTAGCTCTAGGTTAGACCGAATTCTCCATTAAGCCTCTACTTTGATTGGCCCATAAATTTTCTGGAGTACTTTTCTTTCACATACATGGAGCATCCTTTTGCTTTCTTTAGTAATAGACCACGTCACGCTTCTATATGTCACAACAGGACACAGAATCGTTTTATATAATATAGTTTTTGTGCTTCTTGACATATTTTTTCTATTCAGCAGCCTCTGTACACTGTACAGACATCGATTTCTTGCAGCTATGGGCTTTGATATCTTTTCCTATTTGTTTCTTGCAGGTGATCGTGCTTCTGTGGTACTTAAATTCATCACAGCTCTTGAATCTCCAGTTCCCTATTCTCAGTTTCTCTCCTGTCAATTGGTCTCTTTTAAAGGTCCTCATATGCATGCTCTTGTCTGTATTAATTTCTAGACCTAGTTCTCCAGGTTTCCTCAGGAATTCTTCAAGAGCGCCTGAAAGTGCTGCTACAGTCCGTACTGTTATGAGAACATCGTCTGCATATGCTAAATGCTGTGTCATGTGATTATAAATTGTACCTCCACTATTCGTTTTTATTTTTCTTATGGCTGCTTCCAATCCAGGTTAAAAAGCATTGTAGATAATGGATCTCCCTGTCTGAGACCTGTTCCAAATTTGAATTTTCGTCAGTCTCCCATTGAAAGGCACTCTACTGGATGTATCTGCCAGTGTCATACTGACCAGCCTTATTAATTTCTTTGGAGTTCCTAGTCTCTCCAGTCACTTGTACATTTTTTCCTTTTTTACTGAATCATATGCCTGTCTGAAGTCCATAAACAAATGATGTAATGTAATACCGTACTCATAGGCTTTCTCCAGCATTTGTCTTACTGAAAAAATCTGGTCTGTAGTTGATCTACCCGGTCTAAACCCACACTGGTAATCACCCAGAACCGCTTTCGCCCATTTCGTTAGTCTTCTGCTGATTGCGATTGATAATATTTTGTATAAAGTATTTACAAATGAAATTTCTCTGTAATTTCTGCACTCTGTTCTATTTCTTTTTTTATATATTGGACATATTAGAGATTCAGACCATTCTTTGGGCATTTTCTCCAATCTCTATATATCGAAAATGACATTCTAAATGTCTTCCCATACTTCTCCTGCATTTTGAATCATTTCATTTTGTATTTCTTCCAGGCCTGGTGATTTGTTGTTTTTGAGCTGGGAGATGATTTCTTAATCTCCTCCATATCTGGAGGAATATTTATCCCATCGAAGTTTTCCACTTCATTTAGTGCATTGTTTATCAGTGTTCTCTTATTAGCCAGCTCCTCCACCTCTTAACCATCATCCATGATCTCCTGAAAATGATCAGTCGATCTCTCTAATATCTCTGTGTCGTCACCTAGGAGGTTTCCGTTCTTGTCTTTGATGACAATTTTTCTTGGATGGAAACCTGCTCTTATTTTCTTAATGTTCCGAAAGAATTTTCGGCTATCATTTTCGTTGAACTAATCTTGTATTCTCCAGTCTTTCTATCTCTTGTAACCTTTTCTTTTTTCGGAATAGTTTCTTTGCCAATTTTCGTTTTTCTCGATACGAATCTATTGCTTGTCTTGTTGTTCTTTGCAGGTTTCTCATCCGAGCTTCATTTTTCTACTTTACCCCTACCTCGCATTCATGACCATACCAGTCTTTACTGTTTTTCTTGGTTCTCGTTCCTAGTACTTCCTCCGTAGCCTCTTCAAGATGCTTTTTACCTTTCATTAATTATCTTCCATTGTTGCCTTCTCAGCCTTACTTACCTTCCTTTGTTCATCCAATATTTCCTGGTAACTCTTCCTTACACCGTCTATTTTTAGTTTTTCTGCAGCTTAGATTGATCTCTTTTCAGCCTTTTTTCGAGGTTTTCCAGCCAATATCTGCCTGTACTTGGTCAATACCAAGTAGTGGACACTATTGCTACATGCTCCTCTGTAGCTTCGCAGTTCTAAGATATGTGATGCGTGTCTCGTATATCTACCAGTATATGGTCTATCTGATTTTCAGATGTTTGGTCAAGAGACCTCCATGTGCTGATTTGTACGAGAAGTACGTACTCATCACTCTTAGTCCTTTATCCATTGCAAAACTGATTGCCCTCAATCTATTATAGTTTGACTCTTCATGCTTAATATGATATCCTATGGTGGACCTAAATGCTTCTTCTCATCATATATTCTTGTTTAAGTCCCCTAAAATCATTTTACATCCTACCTTGAGAGTGTGTCATATACCATCTCAAGGCGTCCATAAAATTCGTCTTTTCTTGTTCTCCTTTTTCTTCTGTAGGTGCATGTAAGCTGTAATGATTGACAAAATTAGCAAATTTATCTTTTAACCTAATAGTACAAATTCGTTTATTTCCTGCTTCATAGTTCATCAGTGACTGCTTGTGGCTCTTTTTAATCATGAAAACTGTCAATAGTTTGTTTTGTTTATTAACACTGTTAATTAAGATGTGTTAAATAAGATTTCAAAAGATCCAGCTCACCCCATCTGATTTATTGCAAGGCTGCCACGTCCACTTTATACTTATCCAACTATTTTTCAAGTTCTCGGCTTGCTCCTGCTTTTAGTAAGCTTCTAACATTCCAAGTTCCGACTCTCATGTTTATTTTTAACATTCTCCTCTCTAATTCTGCCGTTCGTCCTCAAAGGCATTGTTTGGGCCTCTCCGAAACCGAATAAGTCCCCATGGGAATTCATTTTACCATTGCCATACAAAAAACATTAGCAGTTTCTTTGGCAGTCTTTTTATGAGATGGCTTCGTCAGACTCACCTCAATTTTCCTCCTCAAATAAGCTGTTTGCACTGGCGGACTTGAAAATATCTGACCGAATAAGCAATGCAAAAACGTTGCAGTATACTACCAAATTTGCAACAATGCCATGGGAAAGTGAGAGGTAACTAAGCATGTCAAGCTCCGTGTATTCAAATCTGCGTACCTGCCCATACTTTTTTACGGGGCTGAAAAATGGACATTACGAATAGGCACGAGAGCAGAGTCAATGCTGCTATAATGAAATTTCTACGAAAAGCCGGAAAGACTAGGAGAGACGTGTATGCAACGATAGGACACAACAGGAACTTGAGGTCGCCCAATTGAAGGAGGTTTTGCAAAACCGCCAATTGAAATAGTTCGTCCATGTCGTTAGGATAGAGGAATATTGACGACCCATTGAAGACGATGGACTACGTTACGGATGGTAGAAGACCTCGAGGCCGCCCGAGAATGTCAATGTTGTAATATATAAATAGATTTTGCAGAGGAAGAGGCAAAGATCTATCAAAGAAGAGGCCAGGCTAGGAATCTAGAGGAGAGGAGAGGAATGGAATTCGTGGCTATGCACTCTCCTACACTGAGAGGAACAAAAGAGAGAAGCGAAAAAAGAATTTTTTAACTGATAAAAAATGAATTCTAGCTCCATCCAATGGCATAATTCGATTTTAAGAAAGATCATATTCGGAATAGATAGAAGGATTATAACAAATAAAATTAACATTGAAGTTTAATTCCCTACTATACTATTAAAATAGAAAAATGGTTGTTAGCAACATTTTTGTCACAATCGAGGTAAAGATCGCTCATTTAAATTACTCAATTTTTGTCGGATACATCTTGTGTAATATCCAAATATAATTATCTCACTTTTGGTTTCCTCTTGAAAATTCTTTTCTGTGGAGCTCAGATTTTAAAAAATACAATACAGCAAAAATACAAAATACACTTATCTCCAATGTTATTTCGAGTTTTAATTGTGATGTTTAACAGTTGACTTATATTCATCATTCGTTTTCCTTACGTCTAGACGCCCCTAAAATAGTTAAATTTCATTCATAAAGCAAGAAAAATCGCCTTATTTTGCTTATTATAAAGTAATAATGAATATTGTATTCAAGGTAGTATTTTCTATATTCCAAACTAATCTATGTTATTGGTATGTAACACGATTTAAAAAAAAAAATCGTTGTCTTATTTAGCAATGAAAACTTTTTTTAAATCGAGTTTCAAGTGATTCGACTTCGGAGAATTAGTAAAGTTCCAATCTATCAGGCTCAGGTTGTCTAGTTGTTTGGACACGTCAGATGTGTGAGTTTGAACTGTGAAATGGCAACGAAATCGTGGAGAGGAGATGTATGTATTAAAAAAATATAAAAAATTAATTCTTCTGTTACTTTTTTTGGAACTGTGTTCATCGAAATTTTAAATAAATCATAATTTCTCATAAATTTCTTCATCATAATATAATACCTACCTTATAAGAACCGCTGTATTTGTATTTTTAGGAAAAGCCGGTGAAAATTAATAAATGGGATGGTTCTGCCGTAAAAAATGCATTAGATGATGCTGTAAGAGATGTGAGTATGAAGGTTGGTTTGAAAAATATATCATGCTTTATTAAATTCTAACTCCAACTCCTTAACAGGTGCTGACCAAGAAATATAATTATGTTGAAAACTTCTCCCTCATAGATGGAAGATTATTCATGTGTGGTTTTTCAGTAGCAGTTGCGATGTTTGCTCTACTTTGGGATTGGTTATATCCTTTTCCACAGTCGAGGTACTTTACAGCATATTGACTCTTATCATGGTGATATCCAATGTTTTTAACCACTTATTTTTCTGATTTTAGGCCCGTTCTTATAGTATGTGTTAGTACCTACTTTGTCATGATGGCTTTGTTGACACTATACACAACCTATAAGGAAAGAGGCATATTTGTCATAGCTATTCAGAAAGATCCAGCTGGTTTTATTCCTGACAATACCTGGGAAGCTAGCTCTGCTATTAAAAAGTAAGTACAGTCTATGTCTATTTTTTAGAAGAATTAATATATTTTTATATCAAAACATTGTTACATAGAGGGTTCGCTATTTAATGTTATTAAATATTATGGTTCATATCTTATCATTCAAACATTACTTCCAGGTTTTCTTTTATCTTGTTTAAAAACGTTTGTAAGCTTTAAGTTTTTGTTATATTATTGTGACATGTATTAATTGATAACAGAAATATATACGTTAATTGTACTTCTTGATTGGTTGTTGTATTGTTGAATTCAAAGAATATTTCTTATATTTTTGAGTAACTGTCTTGGGTTGCTACTAATATTTTTCAGGTATGTTAATTGTTAGTTCCTTAGTAAAACGGTTTTCTTTAACTGCTCATCATTTAGATAAGAATTTATCTTCTCATTTTCAAAATCACATTTCAAACATTTGTAAAACTCATAGTTTTAAAGTTTCTTCCGGCCATTAGCTTTTTTATTTTTACTTCTACAAGACTTTCATTACATATACATTATGGAACTCTTGTACTTTAATGCAATCCTTCAATTCTAATCCTCTGTTCATTCCCGTAATACCTGCTCTCAGTCTTCAGATTTATATATAAGAGCCTACTGAACCGTTGCTTTCGACAGATCGTTCTTTATTCGATCGTCATCCCTATGGAACTCCATCCGCTTCTCCAATACCCTCTCTACCTTTAAATCCCACCTGTTTAATCATTTCTTATCCATCCAGTCCCCATAACATTGTAAGTAGATATTACAATAAATATGTATATAAATTATTAGATCGTTCTTAATTATTTTTACTTCATTTTTTTTTTAATTAATTGATTAAAGGTAGAAAGTAACTTCTTCTTTTTTATGACTGTTTACTTTTTGATCATTTTTTATGTATCTCTGAGGATCCTTAGCCCACATTTCTTTTCTTTTTGTATTATTCTAAAGGGACTTGTCCCAGACTAAATAAAGTATTATTATTAATACTGTAAGGAATAAATTTTTATTCCTTATTTAGTTTCTTGACTATCCTTATCTTATTATTCCAATAGATGAAACACACCATATATTGTAAGGTTCATGAACCATTTTTTTAATTCAAAGTTTGTTTCCCCACGTTGTAATGATTGTATTATGCCTCCTCTGAATTTAAAATGCTAGAGTTAAATAGTTAAGACAAACTTATTTTCTTAAACTATTCTAAAATAAAATTATTTATTAATCATTTATAATTGTGAACTTATCAGCTTTCAAGTTGCAGTTACAAATCTAGGCTGTTCCGTTTTTTCTTACATATATTTCATTATTGTACTGAATTCATTGTAATTCCAATTCAGTTAAATCAATCTTTTTCCTAATCCGATTTCTGGAATTCAGAGATTTGCTTATTTACGTCTGACTGATTAGTTTAGTTGTGCAGAATTTTTGTGTGCTTGATCTCTATTAATTTGTTATATATTGTGATTAGGCTCTGCAAATTGTGTATTTTTCATATATTTGATAGATTTTGATCTACCCAATTTCTGTCTTCTTGGAAACAGAAGGATTTCAACTGCTCATTTAGAAACATCAGTTTCTTTCAGAAGGTTCAATCCGAGTTTTTATATTCCTGATCAATGGAGATTGAGTGCATTTTATGAATATTTAATTACTAGTTAACTTAAGCGATATATGGTGTAAAATGACTTATTATTTTGGAAATTACTGTATTATTTTTAATAACAGAAACCATGGTTTAAAGTCTTAATGGGTTATAAATGATTCCTTTTAAATTACCAATTTAATTTTACTACTTGTTTAAAATTCAGTAGTCCATAAAGGTAATTATCGTTGTTTTTATTTATTTTAATTTTAGTCTTATTATTTATCATGTCTATAATCTCCGGTGTAATAACTAGTTCAGTCGAAAAATGGTCTTCACTAGTTCTGTAAATTGAGATCATCTTCGAAGTTTTCTAAACACCATAAAGAAGTTGGTAACTCACAGAACCTAAAATTTACGGAGATCTAGACGAGAACTGTGAATTTACTAATTTCTTCATGGTGTTTAGAAGCCTTGGATGGTAATCTCAGTTTACAGAACTCATGAGGACCATGTTTTGACTGACTAGTTATGGCTAGGGACCATAGATATACAGTCGTTTTATTTATGAAATTTAATGGTAGACAAAGTTTAAAGTTATGATTATATTTTAATAGTCATATCTCTATTAAACTATTTTCTTTCACACGAGGATGACCTTCATTTTCTTTCATAAACAAATCTTTTTATATTTCTATCAGTTTATCTTAAAACTGGGATTTTCTTTTATCTCTGTTTTTGTTCAACCTCACGTTTTATTTTAGTGTATTCTAATTACTAATTTCTATCACATATACTTTAATTGATGCATAATCAAATAATGTTTGATTTAATTTTTAAAAATAATTGAAAAAAAATCTGATGTATCCACTCACACAACTTTCCTACCTATTTCAAAAAGTTTTTATATCTTTACATATGTTCATGAAGAAACAAAAAAGAATTGAACTAGATACATTTTCCTGAAAATTGATAAAACATAAGATTTGAGTACGATTTATTTGATAAACTAAAGCAATGTAAACCGGCTTAAGATAGATCAGTGTAAAAATTTCAATACTTCCTGATATTGCTGATCAAAAACGTTTTGGCACAGCTTAGTATTGACAAACAATAATTTCTGTTGAAAGTATAGGAAATAGTGAAGGTTGCTTGATGTGGGCAACATATTTTCTTACTTTCACTTAGTCATCTTTATTCTCTCATTCACCCCTTTCTGACCTTTACCGTATAATATATACTTAGGGAGTTAGGCCCTATAACATTTTTCTTTTCTTTATAACTTTGTTTCCTGAATTTTTTGGGGAATTTAGTCTATATACGAACAGTGATTAGAACATTATAGGAAAGTTTCATCAAAATCGTTAGAGCAGTTTTTGTGCTACAGTCTATAGAAAAAGATGTTTTTCATTTATTGCGCGCAAGCTATTGCGCATGGAGCACCGAATTTCTGTCACAGCCATCAGTAGTCAAAACCTTACAAAATAAAAAAAGAAGCAACAAAATCGGTTCAGTAGTTCCCAAGAAAATCTTGGCACAGACAGACCAATGGCTAAAAATGTGTCGAAAACCGCATGTCGGAAATTTGACCCGATTGCAATACTTTCCTTACCTAGTATAGGTAGGAAAGTAAAAATAAATTCTCTTACTTTTTATATCAGATCCACTCAATAGTATTTTCCATAGTGTTTTTTTTTTTTTTTCCTTTGAGTTTACTTTTTTTTTAAAAACATCTTGGGTTTATTGCAAAAATTCATTAAGTATATTTTGATATAGGATAGTTATCAAATAGGTTTTTGTGAATTTCAATCTTATTTATTTGTACAAAAATACTGAATGCGCATAATAGTGACACAAACTCTATTATTATGTATAGTTAAACTAACTGTGCAATATTCTGATTTCACAAAGGGAAAATTATTTGGATTTCTTAATTATATAAGGTTATAAAATGTCATTTGATGACTTTTCCCATAAACCGGTGATATTTTGTAAGAAATATAAGAGTGTAGTTTTCTTCCTTCCTTGCTTCTATTATTATTCACAATCTGCTTTTAGTTGAGTGGACCTTAGAGTTATTTGTTGGATCACAGCTTACACTTATCCCAATGGTGGATTATAAGTGTAAGGTAGGATGAAATTCTTCGAACATAAGGATCTTAATTTAGTTTTTTATTATGTCTCATTTTTTACTTTCACTTATCTATATATGCAATATATAGTAAGGGTTAGTATTCAGATTGTGAAAAATTTCAAATCTGAGTTTTCAATGGAAATACATATTTTGAGTTCTTCTGAGTCCAAATAACCAAGTCCCGCCAAATGATTTGTATGTGTATGTGATCAGTCTAGCTCAAAAACAGATTGAAGCGAAATTGCATATTTAAGGTTTTAACAAGCCTTCAATGTAACAGCAACATTTTTGTCTTGGCAAACCAGAAGTGGTACTTTATATAATTGATTTAACACATTTTTATGATTTTCTCGAAAACAGCTGTAACAATTTTGATTAAACTCTGTATATCAGTTATTAAGCAGTTTTTAATAGGTTTTATTATCATTAATGTTCGCTAACAGGGGTTAAATGGCTAATTTTCAATATTAGCTTCCTCTAAAGTACCTTTAATTTTTTTTTAATTGAATTTATTAACCATTTCACAATAATCTTTGATATAAAAATGAGTTAAATATAAACTATGAGAGAATTCGGTAATTAACTAAAGCAGAAATAAAACATCATAACAGATAATAATTGTAATGTAGGAATCAAAATACTACGAGTGCACCCGAGCTCGTTCGAAATATTACAACAGGCTTCTATACGTAACATGAGCTTAATATAATACGAACTCCGACAATATTATGAACATGTATACATGCGGATTTCATAAATGCTATTGTTGGTATTATTTAATATTTAATTGTATAGAATACAGCCATATAAAAATTTGTATGTACAAGGGTATTTAAACAAATAGAAATACTCACATTGAAATGTAAATAAATATAGCATCTATATTTTTTACTTACTTTACTCTTTTGTCTGAAAATACTTATTTCTGCTAAGAGGAGGGTGGTAAGTGAAAGTCGTGTGATGCGTGCACCAGATTTTAAATTTTAGAAAAGATTTTCTCAATTTATATACATTAAATAAATTGTCTTAAGCCAATATTGTAATATATAGCAATCCAGTTCCGGAAATTGTAGTCATATGAAAATGTGTTACATTTGGATTAATGAAAGAAATATTACTGTTAAATTAAACCTTGATCCTAAGCTTTTTAGAGAGATTAAGAGGTATCTTTATGGAAAAGGGTACTGACTCAAGATTTCCTTATGAAAATATTATCTAATAAATATAATTAAAGTTTTTTTGTTTTGTTTTTTAATGCCACAGCTGTTATTCATGAAAAATTATTAACTCTATCTTTTTTCATTGAGTTTGAATCTATTAAAGATGTTTACATTTTTATGATAAAGTTGATCTGCCTGAAAATTATTTATTACCATATTTTGCTAAATTTCCTTTATTTGAAATCTTGCTGTTCTTCTTTCTGTTTATAATATTCAATGGCTTCCTGCATTTTTAAAGATTAAATTCTCATATTTATGATTGGTAATTGGTTGACTGTCATGGATAATGAAGAGAAGAATAGTTGGGGTGGTCAGTCAAAAAGGAAGGCAAAAATAAATGATAATATTTATTTTTTACATATGCCGACGTTTCGATCTGAAATTCAGGCCTTCATCAGGGCTAAGAAAATAATCAGATAACAAGGTATGAGAAACATAAGTAGTGATGGTAATAAAAAATTAGAAAAATAAAATAAATAAATATAAAGTAAAATGAAATTGTTAGAATAATGACTAAGAACTAAGAGATAAATAATAATAATTATATTATATATATATAATAATGATATTTATTTATTTTACTTTTCTAATTTTTTTTATTTTTTATTATATTTTTTTACCATCACTACTTATGTTTCTCATACCTTGTTATCTGGTTATTTTCTTAGCCCTGATGAAGGCCTGAACTTCAGGTCGAAACGTCGGCATATGTAAAAAATAAATATTATCATTTATTTTTGACCAACTATTTTTCTCTTCTCATATTTATGATTTGTTAATAATTAGTTTTTTGTTTACAGATACGATGACAAGTATAATCTGACATTGACAATTAGAGATGGAAAGGCTAAAGTTATGAGATACGCTACAATTTCTAAATCAGTTGCGAATTTCATTGATGAAAATGGCGTTGTCATTCATGATCTAGTGGAACCTGATGTTTCAAAACTACACAATAGCCTACTAAATGATCGAAAAGACAAGTGAATGAATAAATAATAACATTATTTATTTATTTATTATATTAATCTAAAAAAATTTCAATTTTTTTAATTCGTTTTATCATCTTATTGTATATTGTTTGTTAAAGTGTACTGTGTACACATAAAATATTGAAATAGTGAAATTGGTATTATTTGTAAATTTTATTAAAATTTTTTTTCGATTTAATTTTTTTGTTTTCATTCCTTTACTTCTTATTTTATTTTGAAATATATTTTCTATGTAAATGTGGTATGTTGATTATCTCTCTGTTGTATAAAAAAGTTTTTAGTGACTGATATTTTATTTTATTGTAGTACTAGGAGAGTAGGAGCTTAACTTTTTAGTGATACTCCTATGATGATTATTTTACAAATCATACAGCTGTTCATTTAATTACTTCTATATTGAGATCCTGTTATCTCCTACTTTTCTAATACAAAATAAAGATTTTAGGCTAAAAATTTGTACGGAAAATGGTATTTTACCTAGCAGTTATTTTTTGATCTAGATATTTCTCTCCTTGAATACAATACTTGCTCTATAATACTGTCAATACTTGCATTCGCTGATGATGTTATATTTTCGGACAGTGACATGAATCTTCAGTAAAATATTAATAAATTAAAAGAAGAATTGCAGAAGATTAATATGATTATCAACCCTGTAAAAATGAAAGTAATGTGGGTTGGGAAGAAGCATAGGAGAAATATGCGCGTCAGAGTCGAAGACAAAGTCCTTGAGCAGGTAGAAACTTCAAATACTTGGTCGCACACCTTAATGAAAATGGATACATCGATTCAGAGGTGACTGAGCCAATCGCTGCTGTGAGCAGAATGTTTGAAGCAGTTAAGAAGGGTTTTCTAAACAGGCGTGAGGTGGAAAAGAAAAGAAAAGTAGCTGTTTTCAGATCGACATTTCTTCCCATTTTAACGTACTCTTCAGAATCATGGTCGCTGACAAAGAAACAATCAAGAATACAAGCATCAGAAATGCGATTCCTCTGAAAGATTGAGGGGAAAACGAGAAGAGACAGAATATGCAACACCATCAGGTCGAACCTCAATATTAAGCCGGCCAATGATGTGATTGAGGAGAATCAACTGAGTGTCCAGGACATCTGCGGATGGAACCATACAGAATAGCTAGCGGAACCTATCAAGATAAAGTAGACGGCCTAGAAGGAAATGGGAAGATAAGGTATAGAGCTATTTCCAGAGAAGAGGTCTTCAATGGAATGATAGGAGACGTCTTGTGGAGTCCCAGCAGAGCTGGGGAAGGCTCTATAAACTTCCTCCTCACACTGCTTAATGCGGTCCAAGAGGATGGATTATGATGATGATGAATATAATATGTTAATTAGTATATTGTGATGTGGTTATGATTATTATGAAATAGAAAAGGAAGCATAATGTAACCTACAATTTAAATAAAAGGCACAAAAATTATTGCTGGGCAAGTTGAATATATATTATGTGTACATATTGGCAATAACAATAACTATAATTATATTATATAAATTGGCAATAAAGCGCAATGTATAATATAGATTTAGAAAAAATTAAATATTCGTTCGAACTCTGATTTTATTCAGTTTATTTGATGTTGATACAAAATAATACAGTTTGAACTATAGGAGACATGTAAATTACAGTTTTACAATTTGAGCAACAAGTATTAAAATTAAATGAAGAGTTATTTAATTTGTAAATGGGGTTTGTCCGCCATCAGGCAAGGATACCCCCTAGTTTTTATAAAAAAATTTTGGGAAACTGCTATAGTTAGTAATGCTCTACTTAGTATGACATAATAAAGTATATTCCAGATGAGTTTAGGAATTGAAAGAAATCCTCTTTTTTTTGTTAATTGTTTGAAGCTATTAGGTCTATGTCAAGGAGAATAATTTCTCATAGCTTGTCAGTAAGCATAAGTTTATAATAAATAAAGTCTTCATGAAAGGTTTGTTCTGGAAGGAGGCAATGTATAGATCTCATTTTAAAAAAAGTTAAAGGTAGTTGCTTGGACAAAAGAAAATTGGAAGAAATAGAATTAATAATAAAACAAGTAATTTTTGTATCTTGGAACTCCAATGTCCAAAACAGAGTGCTTGCCTGATCTGAAATACCTGTAAAAGTCAGAATTTTACTAGATGTGGGACCCTACCACAATTTACGAATTATGATTCAAATTCATTTATGGGCTCAATGAGTTTATACTATATAGTGATATCCAAAGTAATTTGTGTAATGCAAATAGCTTTTCTCTTTCAAAAGTATTGAAATTCCAAAAAATCTAGACATTTCAAATTAAGGGTGTAGAGTGCTATGATCAAATCAGTTCTGTTACGCGACTCCTAGACCTGGACTGTAAATAGCACTTTTGAAAGAAAGATTATATAGTATTAGTATTAAAGAGTATTGAATTTTGAGAGGAAAATAAAGATGGGGGAACATGTACCTTCATAGTATTCCATCAGGCCACAACAGAGAATGGCAGAAGCCAACACACAACAGAAAATGCCTCAATAGTAGACAGGAGAGTACCTGGTGACCTAAAAACCAGATGCATTGATCTAATTAACAATTAAAGCATTAGGTACAGAAGAAGGCTATTAAAAAATCTATAAGGTCTGTAAAGCCAGCAGAAAAAAAAGTACTACATAACAAAGTAACTAATTATCAGTTGTAGGAACTTTACCAAAAAGGATTGTGAAGCTAAGTTGAATTGATAGGGTGTAGGACAAAGTTGAACATCACTACATTGAAATCTCCAAGGTCTTTGAGCCGACCAACAAAAAAAAAACTTAAATATATGTACATGTGTGACATGTCATGCTGTGTTATTAGACTTTTCATGATAAAAAATAATTATTTTCTTAAAAGATTTTTTTTTTTTATGCCAATAAAGGTAATATATGTGTTGAAAAAGAATTATCCCAAAAGAATGTTTTAGCTTTATTAAGTAAGAATAAAAGTCAGTACTGTAAATGATGATTCTGTAATTTTTTAGCATCAAAGAGGTTGGTGGTTTGATTTTAAATTATTGTCCTGAGAAGGCAATTGAATTTTTGTTACATATATTACAAATTAAAAAAAAAAAATCCTTTTTTTAGAAGGCCTTTAGTATTGTGGATAAAAATATTTAAAATGTGAAATGCTGTATTAATTATGTAAAATGGTTATTAATAAAGATATTTTTTGTCCACTTACAACATACTTTGATGATCAGAAATGTTTCCAAACACGAAATGGAAAAGTCAGTATATATCATAAAAAAGTTCTGGTAGACATCTTAAAAACTACGAAATTTAAGTGAAATGTACAAAAGAAATTAGATTAGGATATTCATTCATTGTTAAATGGGTCACATTCTTTCCATAATTAGCTATTGAGACTTATATTTATTGGAAGCAGTGTCCCTCTTAATTAATCTGTATCCTTCCCTGATTTTATTTCTACAAGCCATTCAATTTTAATTACCTCAGTTCTAGGATGGTTTATTCTAAATTTTTTCTCTTTTAGAATTCTGTCGTTCCACAAGACACATTAATACTTATAATAAATAATTGTCTATTTACTGATCAATATTACAATTTAAGAAAAACTTCATCCAATACATTGTTTTATTTGAGTTTTTCCTTTTTCCTTTCACTTACCTATATATAGTAATGGAAAGTATTGTGATCGTGAAAATTTTCGAATCTGAGTTTTCAACGGAAATACACATTTTGAGGTCCCGTGAGTCCAAATAACCAAGTCCCCCAAATGGTCTGTGTATGTGTGTATGTGAACAGTCTAGCTCAAAACGAAAATTTGAAAAACTGATATTATATATTTAAGGTTTGTATATGGTTCAGACGCGACAGCAACTTTTTCCTTACAATTGGCTAACCAGAAGTGCCACTTTATATTAATGGTGACACACACATTATTAAAATTTTCTCAAAAACGATTTTGATTAAATTTGGTGTATCATTGTATATTTAAGTGATCTTTTAATATCATTTAGGTCTTATCCCCATTAATGTCACTTTACATGGATTAAATGCACAATGTTCATATAATTCTTCCTCTAAAGTACCTTTAATTTAGTTTATTTTAAATAATTATCTATTTCTCATTGTTAGGAGTTATGAAAAAAAGGCTAAATATAACTTTTGAAAGAATTTGATAATTGAATAAAGGAGAAAGTATTGGAGTGTGACGAAAAATTAAAAATAATAATTTTTGAAAACTAATATTATTTAACAGAAATCACCTCATTTCAAGGAAATTAAATGATATTTTCTTACTAAGTAAATGGAAACTTTTAATTTTTTTAAGTTTGAAAAAAAAGTATTTAAAATCCCTGGAATCAAGGCAATAGCATTGTTTAAGATACTAGTTCATCCTACTTGTGTGAAAGAAGAACTGAAATATAAAAATATGGATATGTTTATAACCTTGAATACACTAAGGGAACCAGGATTTAATTTGGGGGGGAGCTTCAGCCAGAAGGCTTTTTCTTCATGTATGTAACAATAATTATTTTGGAGAAAAAGAAAGATATTAACTATCTACATGAAATGGGTCTTAAATGATTCTTCAAGTTCTAATAAATGTAATTACACTCACAATAATACTTTGATACATAATTTTTCAATATTTTTTTCCGTACAACATGGTTACATTTTACCACTTTGGAAGGTGGGGCTTAGCCTGAAAGATCCCCTCTCCCCCTCCATTGATCCACCTGTGCTTGAATATATTTACTGTAGTTTAATAACTCTAGATCTAATATTATATTTTAATAATTAGGAATCTATCGTCCACTTATTCCGTAAGAACATCATGTAACCTTTTAGAAAATTAACTTAGTGAATTATTTGATGAATTTTTCCTTTGTGATATCCCATCAATAGACACTTGCAATTAGTGTGACAACTTTTGTCCTGTCAGTGACAGATAATGCAAATCTCGTTATTCCATTTTAGTAAACTTTGCAATGGAAAATAACAGATTTTTTTTTTCACCTACAACTTCTAAACGATGCATCGAAGCAAAAATGTAATGTTTAAAAAATTACATTGTTCGTCGAACGAGTGCATAAACATAATAATTGGGTTACATGGTAAGGTATAAAACGGTCAACCAACACTGATTTTTAGCTGATTTGTCAAAAACTGAGACAAATTACTTTAAATGGCTCTG